AGCAAGAGGTCACTGTTCGTCCGAAGGAAGACCTGCTGAACCAGACTCTTGGGGTCGAGGCTACGATTGACAGGCTTGTCAAAGAGTGCCATGCTCAGATCCCCGAGGAGGAAATTGCCAAGATCAAGGCGAAGAAAGTCGAGTGCAAGGAGGTTGCAGATGCGCTTGACTATCTCGTCCTCGACTCTGCCGACCTGAACATGTCCCCGGACCAGCTCGGCTACGGTCTTCTTCGGCCTGAGGATCCCGCTCCCAGATCTATCCGTGAGCCACATGGATCGAATGCTGCAGCCTTTCAGGCCGACCTTCGAGCTCCTGACACCAATGATGACCCCCCTTCAGACCCGGGCAATCCTGAAGATGACGTCTGAATTATCTGGCTTTTATTTTTATTTGTTTTCTCTTTTGTTTGAACTTAGATGGGCCGCGAGCTCGGCTGTAATAATATTTTTTGGGATTTTGCCTTTATAACAGCTTGCGCCTACTTCAGCCGAAAAGTGGAAGTATTGCTTTTTCCTTCTTATTTTCCTTATTCGCAGAAATGGAAATATGCTTCTTTTCTAGCTTGAAATTGGTGATTTTCCTATATAGTGTTGCCCCAATTGCCAGTTTTACTCCGGTAAAAGGCGGGGGTGCTAGGTATAAATAGGCTGCCTGGCCGGTGGTTTTCCAAGACATCCTTATTTTAAACTTGTGCCCTCTTTTTCTTATAACTGGTGTCATGGAGAAATCTGTTTCGACTAAAAGCGATGGATCATCTCCGTCCGCCAGTGTTGATACGCCAACTTTCACTGAGAAAGAAGCGCTTGATCGTGGGATGCCCTTGTTCCCTACGTTAAGAGTTCCTAGAAATTTGATGTCGCGAGTTACTCGACAAGAGAAACTCCGGTTAGAGGAGTTCTTCCAGGCTGTGTATGATAAACATACGCAGTACTTTAAACAATTCCTCATTGTTGATGAGATCAGATCGGCCTTCGATCATAAGTTGAAACTGCTGGAATCTCACCCGAGAAACTGGATTCCCTTTGGGTTTGGGCGCATAGCTCCGATGCCGACAAGCCTTTACGCCTACTGCGAGCAATGTATGTGGGATGTTGAAGCTAACCGGAATGCACCACCCATCCTAGGGATCCCACGATGCCTCGAATTTACACCGTCGGGTGTGAAGGCATTTCTCATAGGCACCTTGGCCAGTAAAGCCGAATCAGATGATGCCGAGGCGTTTGTTAAGAAGGTATCGGTACCGTTCCGTTCATGCGCACGTTGGTATCCTATTTTTGGGGGATCTAAACAACTGTCTTTTTTTTTTGTTAGGTCGGGGGCCTTTATCAAGAACAGTGCAGGGATCTGCAATTCTTTCGTCTGAAGAAAAGAAAGATCGACATCCGTTTGGACGAGCTGGAAGAAGAAGTCGCCAGGCTAAAATCGCAAAGAAGAAAAGCGATTCTCAGGCTCGACGAGGCGGAGCAGAAGGCTCGGGCATTGGAGACGGATCCAACTGATTGGGAGCGAACTGGTATGCAGCTGCTTTGGCCAATGCCGAGTCGCCTTCTGCATGACACGCGTCAGGTCGCCGCTATTGGGGCGAAGGGTCCATTGATCGTGGACTAGGCGATTTGTGCTTTTTACTTTATGATTATTTGCCGATGTAATTTTATTTTGTCGTAATGCTATTGAACCGTCGCATCCGATTTCGAATAATACGAGCCATGTTTCTAGGCGTTTTAATTTAAGTGGGGATTTCATGACTTGGCGGGACGTCTCCCGGCTTACAATTTCATGATTCACCACAGTTTAAATATATTTGGAGATATCTCTGGGCTCCGAAGTGAGGAATTTCTTTCCTCGAGTATAGTGTACTTTGTCGGAGGGCAAGATATATCTTTGGACTCGGCTTACCTCCTTTGGTGCCGGTTCGGACATGGGCTGCGAAAGATTGACTTCTCTGGGTCGGCTGACTATCCCATCCGAACACGGGACCTTTAGGTGCGAAACATTAATCTCTGGATTCGGCTTACTCCTAAACTTAAGGATTGTGCGTTTAACGCGTGCCGATCACATGGCCAGGGTGTCGGGGATGCATACGTATGTATGTATACATGTATAGTTTTTTTTTTTTTTCCGCGAAAAATGACATGGGAATGCGTGAACGCTGCGAAAGATTGATTTGACGGGTCGTCGCTCTGGGTGATTTGGAGATTCGCGAAAGCTTGGTCAAAATTGACCTGGAGATGCGTGCCCCTTTAGTGTGTGGTCATTCGGAAGAAGTTGGTTGGAGAATGGCTGGCATTCACTGCGGTTTCCGGCTATAAATATCCAGCTTTTGGCATCCATTTTATTATCACCCAGCGATTTCTTCAATGGCCGGATCTTCCAGAGGGATTGATGCCGATCCCTTTCTCCGCGGAGGTCGCCGTCTGATAGAACAGCTTGATGAAGACGAGACCAAGGCGGAGGTTTACAAGGCCCGTATTTGCAGGCTAAGCATGCACATCCGGTTACTTTGGGAGCGTCAAGGTACTAAGGCCGACCTCGAGCGATATCTCGGGGTTGAGGATTTCATAGAGAAATCCGTTTTGAATCATGGCCTCAACGATATCCTTCGAGAACGTGCGCTGTCATCGGGTCAGTTCTACCGCCTACACTCCACTCTTGAACGTATCAAGGTCTCGTGGCTTCAAGAAGGAGATCTTGATTCGTTTGATGGGCCTCTCATTGCGAGCCGGATGCGTCGCGAGGAACTGGAGGGATATCGCGCTCGCATTGCTCGGTTGTGCGACTATATTGTCGCGTTCAATAGCGCAGCCGAAGTCGTTCATCAGAGGGTTCGTGCGGAAGGTGTTGAGAGTTTTCTTCTGCTGATGGTTTCCGAGGGGGTGCCGATCAAATGAAAGATCCTCAAGCTGGTGAGGCAGGCAAGTTCCTTGTGGGCCGAAGAGGAGGCTAAATATCCTCTTCCGCAGTTGCACGACGGCGACACCGACCTGTTTCCCAAATTTATCGATTTGGGGGGCTAAGTGGGTCGCTTTGGCTAGTGGCCATTATGAGCCAAAGTGATATCGCGCTCGCATTGCTCGGTTGTGCGACTATATTGTCGCGTTCAATAGCGCAGCCGAAGTCGTTCATCAGAGGGTTCGTGCGGAAGGTGTTGAGAGTTTTCTTCTGCTGATGGTTTCCGAGGGGGTGCCGATCAAAAGAAAGATCCTCAAGCTGGTGAGGCAGGCAAGTTCCTTGTGGGCCGAATAGGAGGCTAAGTATCCTCTTCCGCAGTTGCACGACGGCGACACCGAGCTGTTTCCCAAATTTATCGATTTGGGGGGCTAAGTGGGTCGCTTTGGCTAGTGGCCATTATGAGTTTCTTTTTTGTTTTTGTCAAAGAGTGTATTTTGCTTGTAACAAAATTTTATTGAATAAAACGGGATCGTTAACGACAATCGCGCGTTCATTCATTATTATTATTATTATTTTTTTTTTTTGCTATCTGCACCATATATCATGGTTGCCTACGTACCTCTTTTGAGGATCAAGACAATCGTAGTTCACAGTACATCAAATGAAAGACTCGGATTCCCGAGTGAGGCATCCATCTACCTTTGTGGTCGGATTCCCGACCTAATAGTAGAACCTTTTGAGGTGGGCCGCGTTCCAGAAGTGTTGCACTCGCTGCCCTTCCATGGTCGATAGTTCATAGACGCCTGGGTGAACTCGCCGTGCGACGATATAGGGGCCCTCCCATCTTGCTCCGAGCTTGCCGGCGTTGAGCTCTTTGGTGTTTTCAAAAACTTCTCACAGAACTAGGTCGCCCTCATTAAAACGGCGTTCCCGGACGGTCTTGTTATAATACTTTGCTGCCGAGTTCTGTTAGTTTTGTATACGGATCATCTTTTAGTGCGGCAAGGAGGAAAGGGTCCGACGATGTCCATGGCCCATCACATGAAGGGGTAGGGTGCTGTCACGGGAGAAAGCGCTTCGGGAGGTACGTGTTTCAAAGTGGCGTGCCTTTGACAAGCTTCGCACTTTTGGGCGAATGCCTCGTAGTCGGCGAGCATAGTTGGCCAAAAATGGCCGTCTTTCTTTATTTTTAGGGCCAACGCGCGTCCACCCGAATGGTTCCCACCGTCTCCTTCGTGGACCTCGCCCATAATCCTTTCGCTTTCGTCTCGATCGACGCAGGTAAGGAAGGTTCCGTTAGAACTTCTCCGGAGAAGTTCTCCATTGGTCAGAATGTAATTGGCACATCGGGCTTTTAGTCGTCGAGCCTGCCACCGGTCTTCGGGAACTGACCGCTTTGTATGTAGAGTTTGATCTCTTCTCGCCAATCGACCGGGGGGCTTCTTCCTCATGGGGCTCGTTCTCAACCGGATCGATCTCCATTTGGACCAAGTCGTTCATGATGAGGTTGATCTCATGAGGTTGAGCGATGCTTGGCAGATCAATACTTTTGATGGGGATGGATCGGCGGAGGTCTGGATTTGCGTTTGAAGCTAAGGCGGCGAGGGCGTCGGCCGAAGTGTTGTCGCTGCGTGGAATTTTTGTGAGAGAGAAGCTATCGAATTCGGCTGAGGCGGATCGGACTAACGCCAGATAAGAACTCATCCGCTCGTTCTTGGTGTCGAATTCTCCGCTGGATTGGCTTACGACCAGTTGTGAATCGCAAAATGCCTGGATATGGTTTATTCCGATGCCCCTAGCAAGTCGTATTCCAGCGAGCAAAGCTTCGTACTCGGCCTCGTTATTGGATGCTTTGAAACCGAGTTTCAACGATTGTTCCAGAACCTCGCCTGTCGGTGATCGCAAGAGGATTCCTACTCCGGATCCTTGGTTGCAAGAAGATCCGTCGACATAGAGGGTCCAGCTTTCGACTTTTGGTGCGTCCTCCACGAGTTCTAGGGCGAGCTCGACCATAAAGTCCGCTAAAAATTGTGCTTTCAGACTGGGACGAGAGCGGTACTCAATATCGTATTCGCTTAGTTCGATGGCCCATTTAGCCATTTTTCCTGACTGCATGGGGCTGTGTAGCACTGTCCGAAGTGGTTGATCGGTATAGATGATGATTGCGTGCGATTGGAAATACGGACGCAACTTCCGGGCGGCGACGATGACGGCCAAGGCGAACTTCTTTAATGTTGGGTAGCGTGTTTCGGCATCGTTCAAGGATTTGCTGACGTAGAGAACAGGCCTCTGATCGCCGCGATCGTCTCGGACTAGGACGCCGCTTACTGCTGTGCTAGAGACCGAAACGTAGAGGTATAAGACCTCGCCGTTCTGGGGTTTTACTAGGATGGGGTGGCTGGTCAGATATGTCTTCAACTCTTGAAAAGCCGCTTTGCATCGCTCGTCCCAATGAAAATCTCGATTTCCTCGGAGTAGTTGGTAGAAAGGAAGGCATCTGTCTGTCGACCTTGCGATGAAGCGATTGAGAGCTGCAATCCGACCTGTCAAACGTTGGACCTCGCGTTTGTTAGTTGGGGAAGGGAGCTCCAAAACCGCCGTTATCTGCTTTGGGTTGGCCTCGATCCCGCGTTCGGTCACGATGTACCCAAGAAACTCCCGGATGTTACTCCAAATGTGCACTTAGTTGGGTTTAATTTCATCCGGTATTTGTCGAGAAGGTCGAAACATTCCGCGAGGTGATGGACGTGATCTTCTGCCGTTAACGACTTTACCAGCATGTCGTCAATATACACCTCCATTGTCCGTCCCAGGAGATCGGCGAACATTCGGTTTACGAGGCGTTGATAGGTTGCTCCCGCATTTTTCAAACCGAAGGGCATGACTTTATAGCAATATGTCCCCCTATCCGTAATGAAGGACGTTTTCTCGCGGTCAGCAACGTGCATCATGATCTGGTTATAACCTGAGAAGGCGTCCATAAATGATAACAACTGATTCCCCGAAGTTGCTTCTACCAGGCGATCTATGTGTGGGAGCGGGAAAGAGTCCTTGGGACAGGCTTTGTTCAGGTCGGTAAAATCTACGCACGTTCTCCATTTACCGTTTTTCTTTTTGACGACAACCGGGTTCGCCAGCCACTCCGGTTATTGTACCTCCATGATAAGGTCCGCCTTTAACAGTCGTTGTACCTCGTCTTGAACTGCTTGAGCTCGTTCGTTGCCCAGCCTGTGCCTTTTCTGGCGAACTGGTTTGAAAGTGGGATCCACGTTGAGCTTGTGACAAGCTACTTCGGGATCTACTCCGATCATATCCCTAGTTGACCATGCGAACGTGGACGATCTCGTCCTCAGGAAAGCTACCAGCTCCTGTTTGATCGGGTCGTCTAGCATGGCTCCAACGCCCACTGTGCGGGAGGGATCGGATTCGTCGATATTGACCTGGATAACCTGGCAGCTCGGAGATTGGAGGGATGCGCGCGCCGGTTTTCGGAGAACGTCGCTGCATTCTCCGCTCTGTAATTGCTATGCGAGGTCGTCCCTTCTCTGTTTCTTTTCGATGATGCAGCAGTTCCGCGACATTTTCTGGTCGCCGTACAAGATGTAGATTCCGGTTGGCGTAGGAAACTTCACGCACAGATGATAAACATAATGAATGGCTCTCATGGCATAAATCCAAGTGGAGCCGAGTATCGCATTATAGATCAGTGGGGCGTCAACTACCGTTAACTTGAGCTTTTTTGCCACTACTCCAACCTTCACTTCGATTTTGATGTCCCCCATCGCGAGACGGGTCGTACCGTCGTAACCGGTTAGCGTTCGAGCTTTCGGTTTTATTTCGGATTCTGAGATCCCCATCTTGGCTAGGGTGCCTAAGAATAGCACGTTGACGGTACTGCCGGTATCGATTAAAACGCGTTCCACATCGTAATTTCCCATGGTTACTTCCACGACTATAGAGTCGTTATGGGGGTGTTGTATTCCCTTGGCATCGTCGGAAGAGAATGTGATAAGTTCGCCAGCTGCCACTGAGTCTTCCGGTGCGACATGCAAGCTGCACACCTGTCTGGCTCTCTTTTTGAGTGCCCGGACCGAGTCGTTGCAGTCCTCAGGCGTCCCCAGTATCATGGTTATCCGTCCGCGAGCCGGTGAGCCAGCACGCTGCGGTCGTTGCCCTCTCTGTCTTTTCGGTGGTCCCGGCAGTTCTCCCCCTTCATCGTTATGCCGATCGGGACTTCGCCTCTCATCAGACCGATCTCGCCGATCGGGACTTCGCCTCTTATCAGACCGATCTCGCCGATCGGGGCCGTCATCTCGGTATTGTCGTGTCCCCTGGCCTCGGCCTCGACCGCGCCCGCGCCTTCCGTCAGGTCGTTGTCCTCTGTATTCTTTGGGCTGGAATACCGCTTCTATTTCGCCGGACTTGTATTTATCGAGGAGATAGTTAGAGAGATGCTTGCACTCTTCGGTTGAATGTCCGGCGAACTTATGGAAAGTGCAGTATGCTTCTTTGGACGACGTTTTTTGGTTACTGGCTTCTTCTGAGATCGCACTAATTTCGCCGCGCGAAGCGTCCTTTCCCTCATAGTGCTTACGTGATTCCCGATAGTTTTCACGTTTTCGGTCTTGGGGTGTAGGACGGTTTGCCCCAGACTTCGCTGCTAGTTTGGCATATTCTTCTTCAAAAAGTGTGTATCTGGACGCACGATGTAGCGCGTCGTCGAGATCTTTCGGATCACGGATGGCCAAGTCTTTTCGCAGGGACGATCCTGGAACGAGCCCCTTGCGGAATGCGGCCAAAGCGGCATCCTCTGGGACTGATACTTTGGCCAGCAAATTCTTGAATCGTACCAAGTACTGCTGCAGAGTTTCGCCGACTTTCTGAGTTGTGTCCCAGAGATCGATGCTGGATGCTCCAGGTTGTATGAAATGTCGGTAATGCCGGAGGAACGAGGTCGATAGCTGGGCGAAGTTATCGATCGAATTCGGGCTAAGCCGAGAAAACCAGGTGAGTGCATTGCCGGTCAGACTTTCGACGAATAACTGGCAATGCCCTGTATCCTTCTCCTCGTCGGAAAAGTGTGCTTTTGTGACTGCGGCCATGAACGCCGTCATAAAGGTACGTGGATCCTTATCCCCGTCGTACGTCGGCAGCCTCAATTTGATATGCGGAATTCGGGCTTGAGTGATGCGGCTCGTGAAGGGAGTTCGCTGTGTCTCTTCGAACATACGGTCGATTTCAGGGGCCGAACTGGAGACCCGATGGACCTGAGAGTTTATGTCGGCTATCCTTGCGTACAGATCTTCCAGATCCCGATTTCGACCGGAACTGGGCGTGTCCGCAGGTTGGCTGGACGCTG